TAACAGGCAAGATGAAAAGAGCACGAGGTGGTGTAAAGAATGTTTCAGGACATCAATTAGAATTGAAGTATAGGACCTGTAGCAGTGTCTCTGCAATTACAGGGCTAACCACCATCCTCCAGTAAATTGTAGCTTGGCTATTGTAACTTATGCAATCCATGTTAAGATTTTGAGCTCATAAGCTTTCAGTCTCATAATGTTACTCAACTGCTACCGTTATTGAAGGCAAAAACCTAACCATATTCTACATCATAGGTGTGCACGATGTGTATTTGTAAATAAAAGTGATCAATGTCATTGCCTTGCCTTGCCCATTTCCTTTTGCTTCACTTTCAAACCTTCTTGTGCATGCAGTATTGCTATTCATTCCAAGGTATGAGTCTTCCTGGTCTGTCAATGACCTCCAGTAACCCCAAAGTCCTCAACAGCCCCTGGGTGAGACCCCAGGTGGCCATCACCAGCTTCAATTACAGCCTCCAATGCATAACCAATTTGTTTGACAAACCTTTGCTGAAGGAACATTTTGGGGATAAAGAGGGTGCCATTAATCAAAGTATCAATCATTCAATCATACCTTGTCAACATCACCCTTTTGATGAGTTAAGATCTGCATTTTCTTGCATGTACCAGACTTGAGTTAAAAAAAAAAAGATTTTTCATGATACTACAATGACACTGCCTTTCTACATCTTTATTTTTGTCTACTTCTAATACATGTGTTTTGCAAAATACATAGCTTGTATTTTCCGATTATACATTTTTTTTACGAATGTGTGTTTGAGAACATTAGCCAAGGTACAGATTGGCACATGAGTGAACATTGACACTATACAATCTGACACTACATAAGGCAGTAACTGCATTTTCTTATTCTCCAAAAATCAACTTGGTGGTGGCTGATCATACATGAGAAGACCCTAAGTCAATAATTCATTGAATATTGTTATCTATTCAACATCCAAAAGCACATTGTATGGTTTCTCTTACTGAAAACTTATTGCTTTATTCATAGTAAGCATTATAGACTTCATAGAAGCTGCCATCTTGCTGGGCACTTGTCTGCCTGTCAGTTGCTGTTGTGTTTATATACTTGACAAACCTCAGTGTGTCAGAATCTCTGTATACCAGTGCCAGGGCATTGTCCTTAGGAACCACAGTCAGGAGTTCCTCATCCTCTCCTTTAGCTATGTACGACACATAGCCACCATAGTCACTCTTCCAATCTTGGGCACTGAGGTAAAACATGGCATCCAGGCAAAAATCATTGTTGTGAGGGTCTTCGTCATGCATCAAGGTATAGGACCTGTGTCTCCACCTACGAACTTCCCCCCAACATTTTTGGGGGTGCCATGGCTGTCTTCTTCTTCATCATTTTTTTCTTCCGATTGAAGAGTAAGTCCTGTCAGCCTGCTGAGTAGGAGGAACATGGCTTCAGACTGAAACATTCCTGTAACCTGTTGTACAAGTTCAGGCATGCTGGTACTGTCTGCCTGCTCATAGTGCCTCTTGTTGAAAGGACCTGTTTCAGTCCACTTCAGATCTTTGGCTTGTAGTGCAGCAGTTATCATCTGCACCTTGTCCTCCTTTAGGAAATCTTCCAACAGGATTTCTGAGTTGTCTTCAAAATCCTGCTGTATCTGAGCCAGGACTTCATCATCAAAGTACAGTGGGTTGACCCAGTCCTCAACCATGTCAAAGTACCCATCTGTCCAGGGCTTCAGGGGAACTTTGGGCTCAGGACTCGGAGCAGGTCGGGCTAGGGGAGGCCCATGAAACCATCCTCCCATGGACAGGCGACGCTTATCAGTAGCGAGCACCTCTGCTACCTGGTGGAAGGAAGAGGCTGTCACTTCAAAGAAGACCAAGCTGCTCCTTGTTGGCAAGAGAGACTTGACCACCTTTTCTGGCTGAAGCCGGCCTTCAGAGGAGGAGAACAGGTCGAGTGTCCCTCCGTCTGCCATGGTCCATGATGGAGGCGTGAGGTAGAGAATGAAGGCGATGCGTCGCTCTTCCAGCTCATCATCATGGCAGAGCAAAGTGTCTGTGTGCTCATAGATAGAACTTGTGATGCCCACTTTATCATTCAGGGGGATTCCTGTGACCTCCACGAGCCAGTTTCTCATCTTCTCCTTCAACAACGACACAAATGCACCAACTGACTGACTGTCTGCTGTCTTCAGGTCATTGGTCTGCTTGAAGCTGTAAAGGTCATTTGATTTTGTGTTGAACGCGAGTTGAGAAAGATCAGTCTCCAATTCGGCAACAAACTCTTCTGAAATGTAGTTCTTGATGATGCAGTGCCGGAAAGGCTTTGCTTGTAGTGTCACACAACTAGTCTCAACATCAAGACTTCTGGACCATGCCTCTCGGAGCTTCTCTGTGATTTCTCCATCATGCAATGGTGGTGGAAGTTGAAGCTGGGTCTGAGTGTTGTCACTCTTTGCAAGCTTGACCTGGGGTCCCGAGACACCTTCCTTTTTCCGTTTACTCATACTTGTTCAGATGACCCTTGTACAGTGCCCTTTGCAACTAGTTGTACAACCAGACTTTGTAGTACAAAGGATAAAATTATGTCCAGGCTTCTTCTTTCATTTCTTGAAGTTGTAGCAACCTAGACCTGGAAAATACTCACATCTCCTGAAGACCCTATCTTTACACATTTAAAAAGTCTGAGCAAATGCTTCTAAAATGGTGTCGTTGGGGCAATATTCAGGAATCAGTCCGTGCATCTTAGACTACCACGTTCACCACATGTCATTCCGCCATGTTGGACCTGGAAAATGGTCAAAGCGACTTTAATTGGGGGTGCACTTGTAAAATATTTTCGTTATTTGTTCACAAAATGCCTTTATTGGAGTTGTTATATATCTATAATGAATAAGTCTGTATCTAACAATATTGTACTTTTATATTTTTCTCTTTATCACGATTGTTGGCACATTTCTTACGGTAGTAGTTTTCTGTTGATGCCCCTAATAATGGTAAATTCCTGTGGGCGTGTCTATCCTGTCACACCCCTGTGGCAAATGGAACATTCTAATTTACTGTCCCAAAATGCAACATTCCAACATGGTGTCGGAGGCATATTGACAATTTTATTTACGGACATTTTAGAGGTTTATACCATAACATGAACGTTTCAACCGGCAACTATGTAATCTGATCCATGAAGGACGTCGGGGACATTCCACTGAAGTGAAGTCCTGCAGGATTTCTCCCCAGGAATTACGGAGGTGGCGCAATGCAGCCGGCGGCTCGGAAGATGAACCACCGCTATCGGAAGAAAGAAGATGACATAGAGAAGTGCGACCTTGGCGCACTGATGCAAAACATTCGGCGGTTGCAGCAGTTCGCCGAACCCGTTAGATGGTGCTGGGAAGTCGGAGCGTCTATAGCAAGGTACTTTCGCTGAAAATGTTTCAACCTCCTTGATAAGATAGATGATCCTGGTAATGGTAATATGTAAAATAGATGTGTTTTACGTAACATAAACGATAGCCGTTTGTTTACAAAACGTTGTTTTCAAAACAAAGCCTTAGAGCATGTCTGTTCATTAATCTCTAAAGGTTATACATCCTTTCTCTCTTGATCATTGTCGTTTTCTGTTGTAATAGGGGGAAATCCCTGGAAATCGCAATTATCACATTATTATGGCCAGCAGAATTTTGTTGTCATGATAAAACGATCTGATCTATAATATTGTGTGAACCTTTTACCACCACCACCCTCAGGTTTTTATAGATGCTAGATGATTTCCAGAAATAAGCTAAAATTTCAAAATGAATGAAATTATATGATGATGATGAATTATATATATATATATGAAAGTTATGACTGTTGTTCACTGCTTTCTCATATAAATAACTTAATAAGTAATGTAATCTGCTATGCAGGGTATATGCACACCTGAACAAACTGTTTGCTGTCTTAACCAGTATTACAAAATCGACAAAGTGTGTGCCTCCATTTGTATGTTAGTTGACTGATGTGTGTAAATAGTCTGTCTGGCCTTGGATGGTGGGTACAAGGGGGTGTGTCTGTGTCACACCTACATGTAATTGTAGATGTAATAGTCAGAATTGTTCATTTATGTGAGAATGACTTTATATGACTTAAAAGAAAGATGGTAGAGTAAGTTTGGTTATGGCATGGTGCTCTATCTAGGTAAGTTTCTTGTCACTAATTTGTACCAAATAATGATTGTATCGGCACAGTGGAAATGTTAAAAAACACAGTCTGAATCAAACTGTGTTGTTTTTTGTGCAAATGCTTTTAATATGGGCAAATTGCACAGTCAAATATTCTTTATTTGTATAACATCTGCCGTAGCGCTTATTAATTGTGATGCAACATCATAACTATGCAGTGACTTGGAAACAGCAATGATGAAATGGACCAACTGACTTGATTGATGACTATTCAAAAGACCAGCTGTAACATGAGCCTGGGGACTGAATCTGATTAAATACCTGCTAAAGAATTAATTTTTCATACCCAAGTTGCTTTTCAATGCTTAGCTGAATATAAGACAGAAGAGCAGTCACATTCCATTTTCTCACATGTAATTTTTTCTACATTATTAATGATAGGCTTTTACATCAGATCTATTGGAAAGTAAAGCCCGTTATACCTTATTGCAATGCAGTGTGACAGCTGTTGAGATTAGTGTTGTGACCCTTTGTTATATTGTGATGAGATGATTCATTGTTTCTGACTGAACTTTGACCTTTAGATGGAAGAGACCATGGCTGTCTGTCGGCTGCTGGTTGGCCAGTGTAGTCTTCTGTTACCTAGCAACATCAGGTGTGGAGTCTTCCCTTTTTTATCCATAGCATAATGCAGTATACGTATCGATGATATAGTTAATATGTTATTCTCAGTTTGATCATGGGAGAAAATAACTAAGGTCTCAATGCATGCCATAATCTGCTAACTGTAACAGTACTGTAACTTGTTGTAAGTAAGGTATGTAAACCAAACACGAGATACAATATTTGTAACAAATTTGAATATTTCTAGTTGAGTATCTCTTACCTGCTAGCTGTCAGAAATTAAAATTTGATCAAGTGAATCAAACAGTAATGACGTTCATTTCCTCCATCAACATGTTCTTTTGCCTATCATACTCTAGACAGCATTGCTATCATCAGCCATTACCAGAGCTGTTGTTATACAAAGTTGACAGTTGTTTATTGTACTTTCAGACACACTGTTTCTGTTAGCGCTGCTTGTTCTGTGTGGGGTGTCAGGTCTGGGCATGCTGCAGGGTTCCGCTCGCAGGGTCCGCTCCAAGCTGAAGCCAGGGGTGGGCGTGTCCAGCGAGGAGGGGGGGCAGGGCCAGGGGACAGACGTTCTACAGATCCACAACACCATAGCAGAGTTCAAACAGTTGTAAGTACAACATACACACATTACTTTTCTAGAGAAATAGTGTCATCATTATAACTGTCAATCTAAAGCTAGAATGCCATTAGATTATCTTTATTCATGATTTTCAAAATTTTATCAAAAGATGGCATCCCTTCAAACAAGAAATTGGCATGTGTTATATCATAATGTACAATTTGTGCACCTTTTAGCTTATTTTAAATCAATATTATGCCATAGACAAAATAGTATACAGATATACAGCCATAATATGTTATACAGGTGCATGTATAATATAACTATACATAACACAGGGATCTCCCCAGAAATTTAGGACAGAATGGAGGAGGGTGCGAAATATCGGTAAATTTGACCAAAGAACCCTGGAAAAGGGTGTAAAAACACTAGTTTTGAAAATTAACAGGGTGGAGCTGAGATAAGGACTGGGTGGAGGAGCTCCACTGCTCCATTGTTTAGGGAGGTCCCTGATAACATCTATGAAAGCACATTGTTCAGTATATTTAGATAAACAAAGTTGTGTTTGTATTGCATATAGTTCCCTCTGGCTAATGTGGTTGTCAAAATACTAAATGGAGCTTGAGCCACTCATATATTGATCGATAAAGTTTTGTACATGATATATAGTGTTTAAGGATATGTGCAAATATATATCGTACCTTGTTTTATAAGCTGGTGTGATCATGATGTACATCTCACATATTCATAGTCTGTTCTGTCAAAGACTGTTTTTAGAACAGTTCATCATTTAGCATTTGTTATTTACTTTTCTGTTGTCCTTAGAATTTATGTTGTCTGAGTATTGATAAGGTACTGATAGTCTCCATTTTGTATGCACTTTTAGAGAAAGGCTCAAATTACCTTCATACATAAGCAGATGTTCTTGAGAACATGACAGGGCTGTAGGTTATTGATTTTTATTGCACCAGCATCTCCTCATGTATGGAAAAGTGGGTTACATGGAAGGCATCAGCAGGTTCCCCTGGAGACCTGGAAAGGTGCTTTGTATTCAGGTTGTAGATCAAATGACAGGTTTGATTGACAGAATGTATGGATGTGCGTGGCCAAATGGCTGCAGGTTTTTATTTGAATTGAGGTTTATTGGTACATATTAGGCAAAAAGGGAAGTGGCAAATGTGTATGTGGTTAAACTGTGAGGAAAAAGAATAATGCAAATATTTGTTAGACCTACAACATGTATAGCCAGTACATCCTTAAGTTTTGCTCAAAAGCAATTTCAAACATTATACTATAGCTAGTACTTTTGCAACAATTTCAGACTGATGTCGATCTGTACAATCAGTCATGAGCTGTTTCTATTAAAACTCGACCTTGTTCTTGTGTAGAGATAAAAACACTGAGCATGAAATTTGCCAGTGTCTATCCATCAGGTGATTACCTCAACATGAATAATACATCCCTGGCTTTTCGAACCTGTTTGAGGGGAATAAATAGCAATTACTTGGTAATAATGGCACACTTTGCTCCTTATCACCACCTCATATGTGCCAACACCAGTCGAAATGAGGGGCAGACAAGGTAGAAATTTGGTTGGTGTATGCTAAAATGTTGTGTAAATTACAATATCTGTTTCTATTTTTGACTTAGGTCAATATTCATGAAGGTATAACAGAAGGTACCAGCATCTGTAAGTAAAAGAATGTTGCTATTAACTGTAAACGATGAGTGTGTCATGGAGGATAAAGGAATTGTTACACCATGACGTCAGAGCTGTTCTGATTGTCCGAGGAGAGATCCCTTTGATACTGATAATGAATCGCGGGTCCATTCCGTGTCTCTAAAAGCATTTGCCTGCTGTAGCAGAACATGGCACTCACCCAACATCGCTTGACCTTTCTGGGAAGGGAGATGATACCAAAAACCCATTTAGATGGGATCAATGCAGTAAGCCCAGTCGGGCATTGGCTGGTTGGATTAGGTGAGGTGGAAAATGTCCATCCACAAGGCAAGATGTACCTCCTTAAACTGTACCAATCTTGGGACACTACAGTAAATTGGTTACATGGAAGGGCAGATGGTTAAAGGATAAATTAAAAGAAAAGCATATTCTACATGTAACTACTAGAATGGTAAAGAATTCAAGAATGTTTAACTTAAAGCTTTTTTATATATGTTTGAAAAAAAACCCTTTGAATAGTCTTTCTTCACCCTCATGAGTCATGTCTAACAATTGATACTAATATATTGCTATCTATTCTAGCAGACATTTGCTAATGACGTGCTTATTGTGATTGGAATATAACTGATGGCCATTTCGACTTTGCCCTAGTGTCCAATTACTAACAATATGTATTAACTAAATAATACCATAGAAATACTCCCTCTAATGTAGATAATATGAGTCACAATGGGTTTTGATATGTACACAATGTAGCTATGTTAGACTGTCAGGAGTAGTTAAGATTTAATGCTCTGTAAATCTGTCTATCCTCTCATGAAACATGCAGAAGATATGGGCTGCTACATGTATTGAATAGCATTGTCCCAATGGTGCATGCAAGGTGATGTCATTTGTTCTGTACCACATCAACCTTGCTGTGTATGACATTAACCCTGTATTAAATTATCCAATAAATGCCTAGACATGTAATTGCCATGAGAGTCAAGGTTGTGGGTCAGATACAAAGATAGTGATGAGTGTCGTGGGGCTTTGGTTCTAACTATTTACATTATGATTGCCATGATCCAGGTGTAGATTAAAGAAATTTGCATGTTTTAATTAGAACTAAAAGCTTGGTGATTTATAAAGGTAACAACTAAGTTTGTGCACATTACTAGTACATTATATTGAAACCATCAAATTGACATCCATTCTCAGTAGCCAGGCCACACTTGGGCTCTACATGTGACAGCAGTGAATGGTGTTTATAGATTTGTACAGAGCCAGAACACATTAACTTCCTTTTAGGGAGAGCCTCGGCTCAAGTTGTAATGGAATTATAATGTGGCATAACTGTTATGTAGTTTGTCCTGTGACAGAAATGTCACGAGTTTAACATTTTTTACCCTTGCTGTATTTTCTCCAGTATCTCCCACCTGCAACAGTGGACTACGCAGGTCAGAGGTCACCTGGATGACCTACAGGCCATCTTGGTGTGGGAGGATGCTGGGACGTCTATCAAGTACGGTGTCTTTTGTAACGTCATGTTCTATTTAATAGATGCCTTCAAAGTAACCCATGTTGTATATTTAACGCTATACAGATGTACATCTTGCTTTCTGGTAAATGTGTTATCCTCATCCTTATCAAGAACATAAACTAAGGGTGTTTTGTAGCTATATAGTAACAAAAGAAATATGATATTATGACAGTATTATCTGTGAAGCAAGCCTCAGATATGTCAAAGTAGATTCCTTTTTCTACTGTATATTAAGATGACTTTTGTGTTGCCTTTCAGAATATTCTGCATATCTTTAGGAACTGTTCTAGGAGTCTTTTTATTACCAGTGAGATGGTCTGTGATAGTAGGTAAGTTCTTTTTCATGTTTTCTAATTTGTGTAATTACAGAATAGTTAATTTTCCTAACATTTTAAGCATCTTTGGAATGTCACAATGTTATACAATGAAGATTTGAATTTAAGCTTAGGACTATTCAAATCATCAACTTTGATAATTGAAGCCTGAAGTAAATAAAATCTTTGTGACTAGCATAGATTAAACCCCTTGACTGTGCCTTTCAGGTGTAAGCTGTGTGTTTATAGGAAATGAAGAATTTTACAAAGGTAAGAACCATAGGTGAAGTACCGTAACACAATTGAGTTCAGTTTGTTGTGCAATGTCATCAATATGTACAATGTATGTATTAACTGCCTGTCCTACTTATGGAAGATCTCAAGTACAGAGTAATTATCTGTTGAATGTAGGAGCAGTTAACAGTACTTCTATGCATTTTCTGGTTGTTTTGTAGATGAATACTGCTAGGCGAGATTCTTGTGTTACCTTTACTATCACTGATATTTTGTATCTTACTCTTTTCCTGTCTCTAGTTGCTGTGCAATATATAGAGGTACTTAAGAGTAGCAGTAAGGAACCCGTTACAGAGGAGCTGGTTAGACAAGAGTCGGCCCCAAAGCTGGAGGATGGATACCTGAACCATCAGGATGTTCCTCCTGAAAGAAACCAGGCAGATGCACAGGTACGTACAGATAAAACACTCTTAGAAATTTCAATATTCTAGGGAAAAACTGCAACAATCAAATCGAATGTAGGTTGTATGGTGTACATGTGGTCCTGGTCCTAGACAGCACAATGCAGTGGTACATTGAAAATTTGTGACTTACAATATTTCTCATTAATATACCCCAAGTCAATAACATGTATTATAGCTATAAATGCAATGTTTTCTTAACTTAGAGACCTTTTATTTTGTATCAATCTGTTTCATGAGTTTACCATATAATTCTAAATAAATTGTTAAAGGTATTAATTTATAGTACATTCTGATGTAAAGATAGAATAAGACTCTATTGATTACATGTAGGTGTTCTGTTTAAGGTCCCTCTAATCTCTCTCTATCAAACGTTTTCCATGTATATAAGGCTTGTACAATTGTACATGTAGCACATTTAGAAGCTTGGTGTTATTCACTACAGTAACTGTGCTACTTTCGGAGTCAGCTACTTGTAGTCTTCTTGTAGCTGGGATTCTTCCTAAGGTTTTCAGGCTCTGAACCTCTCCTGGTGTCCATGCTTTGGTGTCAACTGGTGTGTGAGACTACTTCTTCCAGCAAGTAGAGGTATGGAGACGTGTTATATGTGAGTTCCAGTGATACTAACTGTGTACTCCGGGTGTGTAGTCCATGTGGGACTTTGTGGTGTTACAGAGCTCCCTGTCTGAGAGCAGTGATAGTGAGGGGGAGGAGCCAGAGATACTGGACGGAGGAGACTTCCAGGATGTCATCCATCGGGCACATCTACCCGCTCCTGACAAATGTGTCTTCTATGATGCTGAGGTTTGTTTCTGCCATTTCAAATCTCAGTATAACTGCCCTTTCTATACAGTAATACATCCTATGTACCACATATTGTTACTAGTACATGTAATATGAAAGAAGTTGGAACTGACTAAAAAACATTCTTAATTAAGAGTCAAAGAACATGTCATTTCATATGGCACCCTCTCTAGTAAATGCAAAGCTATTATTGTATGTTATGTTGACATGGTCTTAAAGAGGATGTTGTGATTTGATTTCTGTCTTTGGTCCCTTCAGTCAGAGGAGGACACAGGCTCAGATGAGAACCTGGAGAGAAAAGAGCGCATCTCCAGAACAGGGCAGCTGAAGACTCGAGTCGTGTCCAAACTGGCAGAGTTCAGGAATAGGAACAAAGGTGAGAAGTCAAACAAACCAACAAACATATTCATTATTAGACAATTGTAGTGTTTTCAGTTTATGCAATCCAATATGTACATCTGTAGGAATCACAAAATGAATGTAGGTATTTCTGTAAAGAGATACAATGTAGGCTATTTCTGTATCAGGACCTTCATAGTTCTTATCTTCAAGTTGGTACCTTTAATGCCTTTACTTGATTCATTTCCCAAAAAACACATGAACAATTTGAAACTGAGTACCAAAGAGAGAAATGAGTTCTAAAAATTGTTTTTTTAGACCAAGCGGTTTCCATGGAATTTTTTTGGTTTTATTTAAAACATAGGAACGTGTTGAATAATCTGATCCCTCTGTCCCTTCTTCCACAGCCCTTCCAACAAACTGCACCTTGTGTAATGCTGTGTTCCATTCGGTCCTCAAGAGAAGGGTGGGTATTTCAGGAATCTGTACTTTCTTTCTCACTGTTTTGACTGGTGTATTGTTATCCAAGAAGAGAGGGAAGCTGTCCTTTATAACTAAAAATTATTAGTCAGTTTTTATCAATAAAGATAGTTGTTGAACAAGAGATTTGATGATGTAAGGCTTTTAAAAGCTACGCCTAAGGCAAAGTCTTGAAAGCTCCCTTGTGGAAAGTCTATTGACAACTGTACTTCATTCTGCAGAGATACTGTCGTCACTGTGGCAACCACTTCTGCTCTCGCTGCTGCCACGAGAAGGTTCCTCGCTCAGTGTTTGGTGCAACAGGTCAGCGAGATTTCAATATTCGTGATATTTCAATCAGGATGTACAATTATGACGAGCAAGTATGACTTTGATACTGTTGAAGTTTCTTTGGTTGAATTTTATTACAGCTGTATAGCTAGTATCAAACAGTCAATGACAACAAGAGAAAAAAACACAGGATTTTCCCTCAAAACCAAATGTTTCATGTACGAGTATCAATACACCAAAACCAAGTTCTGGCATCGATTACTTTCTGTCAATAATGCTGTTATCTCCCTCTAGCTCCTGCAGCAAGCAGAGAAACTGTGGTCGTGTGTAACATCTGCTACAACGTGCTGAAGAAAGTCAGCCAGGAAGACTCCATCCAACTGTCTGAGGCACAAGTGCTCTAGTACTGGTACTACCACATTATCACACACTTACATTTTCGGGCGATCTTCAGTCTTCAGAACTATTATAATAATAATAAGTCGGTGAATACGTGTACAGTAGCTTCATCATCAGGTTGGGAGGACATTTTCATGATTGCTTTATGACTTTCAGCCATAGCTAGTGGCAGGTTGAAGTTCTTAAAACATCCCCAAGATGTGTCCAAGCAACTACCTGTACGTGTAGTCTAGTGACTACCATGACATGAAACTTAAAAGCCTGTGGACCTGTGCATCTCCATGACAGTGATAAAAAATGTGTGTGCAAAGCTGCCATCTACTTAATACTAGTAAAAATGTTCTAAATCTTTCATCTGGAATTTCCTAAGATTTTAGTATGATCATGTATATGCCTGGTCTTAAAGCCCCTCAATTTTTTTTACCATTTTAATGTTTGACAATTTGTACATTATTTATCATAAAGTATTTACGCAATATGTATTGATTTAAGGTGTAAAATGGCTTGAATTGAATCTCATCATTATATTAAGTGAACTCTGAGGTAGAGTGCAGATATGCCAAATAGGAAAAGGAATAAAAAATCAAATCCAGAACAGTAACAAATTGAATGCAACAAGAAGGAATCCAGTTTCTGCTATGTGTGGCAGGCTGAAGATTACTGGTAGTACCTTTGAAAGTGTTATGGTATAATATACATGAACACAGTGTTGGGCAGACAAATGGATTTTAAATCAAACGAAATGAAACCAAATGTTAAAGTAAAGAGATTGAAGGAAGTGTTACCACAGTAATGTCAGGATCTCTTCATTGGAAACCTTTTTGGTCAGTTTCTACAACAAAAACAACATGGAATCAAATACAAGTAGCTGTTCAACCCTTACATGTCCAAGAAACACCAAACGTAATCAACTGTATGCCAAAATCATGACAAATCCACAAAGTTACTAGATGAGAGAGGACTGGACATTTGCTTTATCTTATATTGGATAAAAGAAACTTTGAGACTTAACTAATAACACTGACTTCTTTCCATACTCAACATGTGCCAGTAGAATGCAATGTAGTTGTCTTGATAGGTCTAGAGCAGATGAAGGTGACAATTATTAGTTAGAGACAAAAAAGTCTTTGCTAGTCAGGTGACAATGTGCACTATTATTTATTCAGAAGGTCTTAACGTTTTTATCACAAAACTTAAAAAGCCTTCAGTTTGTCATGTTCTTAAAGTAAGCAGCTATTTCAAAATCAGGAAGGTGCATGTACATGGTGTTTTGTATAGTTCTTTACTTGAGTGTGATGTAATGATGATGTAGTTACTGTAACTCACAAGTATGTAAGAACCTGAACTAATCAGCAGTATCTGTAGCACTCTTCAATCAATCAGTAACAAAAAGCAATGCAGTATCAACAAAGACGTGATGTGTTATCTGTGAAGTATGCCTGATGTGTGTTGTGGTACCAAAGCTTAAGATGTTGCATTTATCTAACTTAAAGGTAACAAATATGCATATGCCATGCTTAAAAACCATGTCATACATGTAATGGTACAGCATGACTGCAGTATGAGCACAATATTTTTGATGATTGTTTTCAATGTGCAATGAAGGAGTTGACTGTTTTAAGGAAAATTCGGAATCTTTTACTGGATGTAAAAGTAACAAGAGGTAAGCCATACCAAAAAGTCTTTGATAGGTTTTAAGGAAAGGCTGTCATTTTAATTAGCCTTTGTGAACAAATGTATACAAATATGTTGAGCAGCTAATACTTATCTCCAAGTATTCAACGTATTTACAACCATTACCCTGTCAGAAATGATTTCCTTATGAAGATACTTAAAGAATGGTAACAAAATGAAAAAAACTGATAATCATGGAAGCATTTGATAATCATTTTTGTGTTCTTTTTATCCCTGTATAATCTTAATTGTATTAAATGAGGAACTTGGGTTTCAAATGATTGTAACATACTTGTGAACTGAACTTTCATAGTCACGTACATTCACACATTCAATGTTTGATTTTGTAACACACAGTAATATATATAACATTATATACATGTAATTATGGTTTCAGGGATGTCCCATTATGTGTATTCAGTGCCATGGATGGGTAAATTGGCTAGTCCAGAGTACTTAGTTCTATCTTTGTGAACCAAACTCTGGTACTTATGTAATGTATGTCTTATAGATTTCTGCAGATACAAAAGTTCAACATCTATTAGAAATCTGTTACACTAAGGGTAAAACTTACAAATACCTCCCCTTACTTTTGGGCATCTTTGTACTTCATTCTTGCAATGCTAATTGTTTACCACAATGTAGTTTAAAGTACATGTACACCAGTTCTGTAGTTGTGACACTGAACAAGACTATGCTGCAAAAATGTCCTCTGTGTTCTGCTACTCTACTTCACCTACAAGCTTAAGAGATTGAATATTTGTGACTTGTGGACCAAAAACTAAGGAGGCACTTCACATGTAGCATCTCTGTTAGTGTAACAATGATGCAAGCTATAGATTATAGACTTCTCACCAAATGCAAATCATGCAATATAAATGTCCATGTACATTGTAGCGCACAAGTTGTTTTGATGCTACAAAATTACATACTTATGTGTGTGTGTATCTATAAGATATCTAGCTATCTTTATATACAATGTTGCATTCAAGTGTTTGCTTCCATATTGATAAAGCTTGTTCAATGGATCACTGTTGGCTCCTTGCAGATGTCCACGAACTCCTGGATATATAATATTATATTGAACCTTGTACCGTATACCCTTAGAGTTACCTGAGACATTTTCTGTTCATGAGGACTGTACTTATTCCCGCTTCAAAGTCTTGTACAAAGTGATATAGAGGCAAAAACTTTGCTGTGAAACTTTCTTCCAAACACAACATCCAATTTTTTTGTTCATTTTCTCCAAAAGGTACCTCTTTAAAACATCTGCATGTAGGTATCACAGTGATATAGGAACATGAAGGTCCATGTGAACCATTAACGTTACCTCAAAAGGCCCCAGCCATCAACTTGTTGAGTGCAGTACTGTCACTTTGTGTAAAGAGATACATGTATTTATGGAAGTTCCTAATCTTAATATTGTTTGGATGTTGTTTTCATCACAGAATATAGACTATGGATCCGAATTACAGTATTTAATTTGTGGTAAAATATTTTATGTCTTTTTTTTTCTACAGTTTGGTTTTGACATTTTTGGACATATTTATGGGTTCACCACACCACGAAGTGGTGTGGTGAAACCATATTGCTTTTTCTGATGTTTCTTCTTCTCCTCCTCCTCCTCCTGCCATATCTTTAAATGGATTCAGCTTCTTCATTTTAGGGCCTAAGGTCCTGAAATTTGGTATGGAGGTACAGTGGGCAAATACCCCTAGGCGTTTTTTAAATTATTGTGATACAGGCTTTTAGAATGGTTTTATTTGAGTTTTTTGGCTGTGTTATAGCAAATGTATTACTGTGTTAGTCTGCCTTGTTTACCACTTTGGGCATGAGTCATCAGAATGGAATGCAGGGCATCAACCAATAGGCATGCAGCTTTCCTCTATACTTCTTGCTGATTGGCTGTTGGGATTTAACTTGATTAACACCTGCACAGAAGCATTTCCATACTGACAGTATGTCTGTATTCAAGTGTTTTGGTAGGTATTTCAAGCTTTCCTGCTCCAGCATTGGAATGCCGGGCATGGACGTTTTTTTTTATTTTGAAAATCAACAGTTTGCATTATGCAATTAAAAATCCTAACCAATAAAGTAGGGAATAGCTATCCAACTGTTGTTTTAGTTGTATTTTACTTCATATTATAGTTATATCAATGTAAATCATTGTTTTCCCTTGTGTTTCCCATTCTTTCCCTGCCATGTCGTAAAATGTGGTGAACCCATCGCTGTATTTGCTCCAAAGCAAATATTGGCCTTTCTAGTTTAATGATGTATTCCTTCTTTGCATCGAAGATGTACATGGGCCATGATACTGCAATAAAAAATGTACTTTTAAGAATTAATGATGAAAGTTGTTCTTGTATTCTTTTCATAGTAATGCAGACCCTCAAACAACCAGGATGACACCTAGACGAAGTACACAGGTTTTAAAAAGCAAAAAATGGTTATGAATATTGCAACATCGTGAACGAAATTAGATATGAACAAGTAAAATCTGAGATTTTATACCTCCGGGCTTTTTATTGTATATTTTTCCATGTTGTTTGTTCTGTATAGTTGATGGTGTTGAATTTTATGTGTTAGATTTAGCGTTCCTGGACTGGTCAACATTTTCATCTGCAGCCCATACCATGTACCCACGGTAAAAATGCATGTCGAGAACGTCTGAGACAGTATACCACGGTATTTGTAAGTTAAGAAGTCGTACTATACGCCGAAAACATCCAAGATTGCGCAAGAGGGCGTTGACCCCTGACCCATTGGCCCACCCGGAAGTTGCGCTGGCAGCCAGCCCAGCGCCGCGCGCGACGATTTCAGATTTTTACGCCCCAAAACACATATACAATAAAAACAAAAAAACCTGCACCATCTACAGCCCATTAGAAGAACATACACCGAGTCCAGTCTACCCCAACGCGAGATACAACTGCGATAATATTTCAAAATACATATCGGAAGCAGACACCCCTCTGTTTGTACCCCTTTTAAATGGTAAGACCCAAAACCTAGAAACCTACCCCACTTCCTTAACAACATGGTAAATTCCATTTTCAGCATGGCGGGGGTGTCCGGAGCACTTAAAAACCTTTTATTTCGACGCCCATAAACACATATACAATTAAACAAAAACGTTCTGCATCATCTGCAGCCCAACAGCAATACGTATACCGAACAACAGACCAATCCGTCCAGCCGATCGCGAGAAACAGCTGCTGACAGAAATGTTTCGAACCATAGTAAAACCTCCTCGCGGAAGGATATCTCCTTCCCCGGAGGTAAAAATGAAAGAATTGTAGAACAGGGAAAATTAACTTGTTTATTTTGCAGCAACTGCATGGTGGTATAATGGTAACATAAAGTAATACAATGTACCAACTGGTCATTGTTAAGAAATAAAACTTCCAAAACTCGTGTAGGTTATGCAAACTTTTAACTTTCAAACTCTACTGCTCTGGTTAACTAGTGATACAAACCCAGGAATTTTCGAACAAAATTTAACAATTGATGACCTGTACCGTATGCAAATTGCAAATATTTTGTATCCTCCAGTGTCCAACTATGGGTACTTTGGTACTTTATGGTGATATCGAGGAAAAAAAAATCAACAGTATAACTCTATATAAACACAATTCTTGTAAAACGTTTTAAACGTTAACATTTTTTTGTAATAAGGTCTCGAAGAAGAACAAGAACGAATACTGGCGAAATATCAACATTTCCTGGATGAATTCGAAATGTTGGGTCCCTTGGTCTTCTCTGGTACGACACTAAGGCGCCATTGCGTATCGTCGCAGTGTCCAGCTATGGGTACTTTCATACTTTATGGTGCGATCGGGGGAAAAAATTTAACAGCATAACTCTGTATTTAAACAATTCTGGTAAAACGTTTTAAACGTAAACATTTTGTTTTGTTTTGTTTTTTTACAATAAGGTCTCAAAGAAGAACAAGAGCGTTTTTGCGCAGTGCTCTCAACATTTCCTGGAAGAAATGTTGTTTCCGGGAAAAAAACGTTGGTCCCTTCCGGGTCCCTTGGTCTTGTCTGGTCCGTCTCCCTTTTAGTAGCCATCGCTGCCTGGCTCGTCATCTGGGAGGGAGAAGCGGACTCGCTTCTTGGCCTTAGAGACGGTAGCCAGCTTGTGTTCCTGTTTTTTGTGGGATGGTAGAATTTACTATTAAGGACCAAACAAACACTTTTTGATGGGAGGTGAAACAACTTGAGTGCCTTTTTTGGTAGAACAAGGTATAGTCATGCGTGGAAATACAACACCGATGTGTATTTATCAAGTTTGTAGCGATGAAAGTCGCTGCATTTCTAATATTAGTGAGTACTAGTAGATGACATTGCCATACCTGGCGGCGTTCAGCAGCGAGGTTCTGGCGCGTCTCCAGCGCGTCCACAGTCGCCTTCTTCGCCACACGCGCTCTTCTCGCCTCCAGGCGCTTCTCAAGCTGTTTGGTTCTCTGGGATGCTCGAGTAGCGATGACGTCGGCGTCAGAGGTTGCAGTGATCACAAATGCGGTGCTGGTCATCTTGCTCGCCTCCTTCTTGGCCTTGATCTGAGCTGCTTTCTCGGCAAACTTCTTCGAAATCCTGGCCGTCTTCTCGTCTAACAGCTCCTACAATGATCGTACAAAAAAGGATGATCAACAATGTACCCGAAATAGCTTCCCTTACTTTTGATTCGATCCGATTCACCTAGTCCGTCATCCCCATACAACAACCTCTTCACAAGTCAACAACATGGATTCCTCCCTGGGAGGTCAACAGTCACCCAAATCCTAGAATGCCTGGAAAGCTGGTCAACCTGGATAGATGAAGGTCAACCAGTGGACATAATTTACATGGACTTTCGCAAGGCATTCGACTCGGTCCCGATCAAAAGACTTCTGAACAAAATAGAAAGTTATGGGATCAAAGGAAACCTCCTTAAGTGGATTTCATCCTTTTTACAGAACCGAAAACAGAAAGTATG